AGATAGCTATATGTGTAAACTGATCGGTATTACACATTGCTAATCCATGTATATACCTATCATCTTTAAAATACATATGTGCATATAACTGTATATATTTCTTAGGTCATTATTTTTTGTGAAATGTATACACAATTATAATAATTGCTTTGATAATAATCACAATTTCAATATCTACATATCAAGCTTATATTTATTTATATACATTGAAGATATGGATCACTCAAGTGATAAAGAATTATGTCTGATAGACAGTGCCACCACGCAGACCATTTTGAGAAATAAATTATATTTTTCTCAAATGACTTTAGTCGAAGCTAAAGTCAATACAATATCAGGTGTTGCGAAGCTCATTGAAGGCTCTGAGAAAGCGTAAGTGATGCTCCCTAATGGGACAAAATTACTTATAAATGACGCTGTATACTCCAGCAAATCGCGGAGAAATTTATTAAGCTTTAAAGATACGCGTCAAAATGGTTATCACATAGAAACTATGAATGAAAACCAAAAGGAATATCTTTGTCTTACGACAACTAAATCTGGCACTAAATATATTTGTGAAAAAATGCCAGCTTATTCCTCAGGACTATATTTCATTTATATTAGTCCATTCGAAATAAATTTGGTTTCTAACGCAAAGTTAGATGATCAGAAAACATTCATGTTGTGGCACGACCGTTTAGGTCACCCAGGCCAAGTAATGATGCATAAAATCATTAAGACTTCACTTGGACACCCATTAAAGAATATCAGGGTTCCATTATCATGTGATTTTCCTTGTAAGGCCTGTTCTCTTGGCAAAATGATCATCAGGCCCTCTATGAACAAAATTGCAACTGAATCACTTGCATTTTTAGAAAGGATTCAAGGAGATATTTGTGGGCCGATAGCCCCACCATGTGGACCATTTCGATATTTTATGGTGTTGATTGATGCTTCAACACGTTGGTCACATGTTAGTCTTTTATCGACTAGAAATTTAGCATTTGCTAAACTCCTTGCTCAAATTATACGATTAAGAGCTCATTTTCCGGATCATTCTATAAAGAGAATCTGACTTGATAATGCAGGAGAATTTACTTCCCAATCATTTAACGACTATTGTATGTCGATTGGGATTGATGTGGAACACCCTGTTGCTCATGTCCATACACAAAATGGTCTTGCTGAATCTTTGATTAAACGATTACAATTAATCGCTAGACCATTATTAATGAAGTGTAATTTACCTTCATCAGCTTGGGGACATGCTATTTTGCATGCAGCAAATTTAATTCGGCTTAGACCGACTGCATATCATGAATATTCCCCAATGCAATTAGTTACTGGACAAGAGCCAAACTTAGCACACATAAAGATATTTGGTTGTGCTGTTTATGTTCCGATTGCTCCACCTCATCGTACAAAAATGGGTCCTCAAAGAAGGTTGGGAATTTATGTTGGATTTGAATCTCCCTCAATAATCAAATATCTTAAACCGATGACTGGTGACTTATTCACCGCACGGTTCGCTGACTGTCATTTCAATGAGACAGTATTCCCAACCTTAGGGGGAGAAACTAATAAATCGGACCCAAGTACGAAAGAAATAACATGGAATGCAACAGGATTATCACACCTTGATTCTAGATCAAATATATGTGAGCAAGAGGTGCAAAAGATAATTCATTTACAAAATGTTGCAAATCAGTTGCCTGATGCATTCACAGATACAAAGAAAGTGACAAAGTCACATATTCCTGCTATGAATGCCCCTGCCAGAATCGAAATTCCTGCAGAGAATTCTGAAAAATCTCTTGCAAATGATTCTTCTGTACGCAAAAAGCGTGGCAGGCCACTTGGATCAAAAGACATAAAACCAAGAAAATCTAAAAGGCAGGAATTGATCTGTGATGCCAAAGATGTTCATCCTTCTAAACAAGAAAATGAACAATTTGAAAATACTGGCATAGAAAATGATATTGACAAAACAAACATCTCAAATAATGATCCAACTTCCTTAAATGAGGAAGATATTCCAGATACTGATAGAAACGTTGATAATTATGAAATTTCAATAAATTAAGTTTCTACTGGAATGCAATGGAATTGAAAAGATATTGATATTAATGAGATATTTGTCTATGCCGTTGCCACGAATGTAATGAATGAAAACAATGACAGTGAGCCAACATCAATTGAAGAATGTCGGAAACGACAAAATTGGCCAAAATGGAATGAAGCTATTCAGGCTGAATTAAAATCACTTGAAAAACGTGATGTTTTTGGACCGATAGTCCCTACGCCAAAAGGCGTAAAACCTGTGGGTTTTAAATGGGTATTTGTGCGTAAACGCAATGAGAGAAATGAAATTGTTAGATATAAAGCCCGACTTGTTGCCCAAGGTTTTTCTCAAATGCCGGGAATTGATTATGAAGAAACCTATTCTCCAGTAGTTGATGCAACTACATTAAGGTTTCTCATTGGCATGTCTGTTTTTGAAAGGCTGCAAATGCGCCTAATGGATGTAGTGACCGCCTATCTATACGGTTCACTCGATACAGACATTTATATGAAAGTTCCCGGATGATTTAAAATGCCTGAAGCATATAGCTCGAAACCTCGAGACATGTTTTCCATTAAATTACAAAAATCATTGTATGGACTAAAGCAATCTGGACGAATGTGGTATAATCGTCTCAGTGAATATCTTCTCAAAGAAGGATATAAGAATGATCCAATTAGTCCATGTGTTTTCATTCGGCGATCAAATTCGGGATTCGCCATAATTGCAGTATATGTTGATGACTTAAACATTATTGGAACTCCCGATGAAATTGAAAATACTGCAAAATATCTTATGAAAGAATTTGAAATGAAAGATCTCGGGAGAACCAAATTTTGTCTCGGACTTCAAATTGAGCATTTGAAGAATGGAATTTTCATCCATCAATCCAATTACACCGAGAAAGTGTTGAAGAGATTCTATATGGACAAAGCTCATCCTTTGACTTCACCAATGGTCATTCGATCTCTCAACATACACGATGATCCATTCCGTCCCCGAGAAGACGACGAAGAAATACTCGGTCCTGAAGTACCATATCTGAGTGCTATTGGAGCTTTAATGTATTTAGCTAATAATACTAGACCAGATATTGCATTTTCTGTAAATTTATTAGCTAGGTACAGCTCATGTCCAACAAGACGTCATTGGAACGAGATCAAGCACATATTCCGTTATCTCCGTGGTACAGTTGATCTCGGCCTATTCTACCACAAAGATGCCAAAGCTTCTTTAATCGGATATGCAGACGCTGGATATTTATCAGATCCTCAAAAGGCAAAATCACAAACCGGGTACGTATTTACTTATGGTAATACCGCAATCTCGTGGAGATCTATGAAACAGACGTTGACAGCTACATCATCAAATCATTCGGAGTTAATTGCACTATATGAAACCGGAAGAGAATGTGTATGGCTGAGATCTATGATTCAACACAACCAGAATGAATGCGGTATGAAGCTTATTACTGTTTACCCTACTGTGATCTACGAAGACAACACTGCGTGCATAGCTCAAGTTAAAGAAGGCTACATCAAAGGAGATAGAACGAAGCATATATCTCCAAAATTTTTCTCTACTCACGACCTTGAGAAAGAAGGGACGATCAACGTTCAGCAAATCAGATCCAGTGAAAATCCAGCCGATCTCTTCACCAAATCTTTACCCCCAAAGAAGTTCGTTGAACTTGTACAGAAAATCGGCATGCGCCGCCTTAATAATTTATGCTAAATTCAGGGGGAGTATTTGAATGCACTGCACTCTTTTTCCCTTCATCAGGTTTTTATCCCATTGGGTTTTTCCTGATAAGGTTTTTAACGAGACAGTACATCCAAATACAACGACATTATATGTCATAATCTTTACCCCTTAATTTTCACACTAATCTTCACAATAAATTTTTAAATACAAATAACTATTCTCAAGGATGAACATTCAAGTGTGAATTGTTCATCCTTGTCATCATCCTTGTAATCAGGACACTAAGCTTCTTACCATCCTTGTAATCATAGATAGATAGATGGCAAGTTTCTTCGAAAGCATTTTCAACTTCTTCAAAATTTCTTCAGATTGTGTCTCTGATCTTTCTCTTACTCTTATGCTTGTGAGTCCGTTTGTTAGCACGAAAATCGGCTGATTTGGATGATTCTGCTGAAATTTATAAACTTCTGGTCGAAGTGGCTGCATTGGCTGATTTTGCTAATTTAAGAAAAAATTATTTTTAAAATATATTTTATTAATAAAATAAATAAAAATTATATGTAAAAATAGCTAAAAAGATCATCTATAGTAACTGCAGCCAAAACAGCCAAAAAAGTAACTCCAACCTTACTGTTCTGATTATTACACAATTCAGCGCGTGAAAACAAAAATTACGTGTTTGGTGAAAAAGTTGGCTGATAAGCCTGATAAACCGAAAAACAGTGGTTCCAAACGGCCTCTGATTATTACACAATTCAGCGCGTGAAAACAAAAATTACGTGTTTGGTGAAAAAGTTGGCTGATAAGCCTGATAAGCCGAAAAACAGTGGTTCCAAACAGCCTCTACATCAACTGCATAAAAGTAGACTGAACTTAACTCTACATTTCTACAGAAGTCTTCAATCCTATACATTAAGTAAATAACTAGGGGTTTTAGGCAAACATATTAGGTTCTGAGCTTTGAGTTTTGCTTCTTGTAAACAGATTTAATTGAGCACGATAGTGTATATAGTAATAATAATATTTATTTTTAACTTTGCAATGTAGTAACCATGTCGATATACTCCTAATAACCTTAATAACAATAATCACATTTTTGTTCATAAATTCTATTCTAATACTCCATAATATTTTAAGAAAAAACACGATTTGTTTTGGATGCAAATGTTAATTATTTTACACCCAAAATGCATCATCAATTTTGATGAGAAGTATGAGGTGCAAACTTCAAATCATCCTTTTCTACTGGTGAAAATTTTATAGGCATTCAAAGTTTTTCAAACTTTATAGGCATTGATTTCTTTTCTACAGGTGAAGAAAAAAGAGCAAACGAACTGATTTAACTACTACGTAGTACTACGTATAAAGTTCATCAAATGTTTATGAGTTACCAAATGCGGAGTAATTGTTATTAAAGGGGCTAGTGGTCCATACATTAACAATGTCCAAAAACACGGACAGTTTCTTCATACTAAGCCTGATTACTACTCTGCTCATTGCCTTCTTTTATACTCCCTCTGATGCTCAGTTCAATCTCACTAAGGTCATCGCAGTTTACTGCCACTGTTGGCGACGATTCGACTCCTGAGCCCGCTTGAATTTCTTTGAACTTTGCCATAACTTCAACCATTGACGGTCGTTTCCATGGTCGATCATCTAAACATTCGGATGCCACTCTCAAGTATAGAACAAGCTCTTTTTCTAAGCTCGGATAGCAGTCATCCTTAAACAAATCTTGATCAAACACGTCTCGGATTTGCGTCTTGTTCTGAAGCTTCACCCATCCTACAAGATTGTTGTCACCGAAATCCGCTGAATGCGTCGGCCGTTTTCCTGTCAACAGTTCAAGCAAGACCACTCCAAAATTATAAACATCGCCTTTAGTTGAACATCTAAAACTTTGGTTATATTCGGGCGGGACATATCCGGGGGTACCCGCCAACGTGCTAACACTCAAGTGAGTGTCCATTGCACTCATTAGCCTTGCCATTCCGAAATCCGAAACCCTTGCTTCGAAGTTATCGTCAACCAACACATTGCTAGACTTCATGTCCCGGTGAATGATATGCGGGATGCAGTTATGGTGAAGGAAAGCTAACCCTCTTGCTGCTCCGATCACGATTTTCCGTCGGGCAGCCCAGTTTAGTTTGACACTCTCCTCCTTCTTCTTCTTCTTCCGGTCACGCAAAACGTCCTCTAAACTTCTATACTTCATGTACTCGTAAACCAACAGCCGTTCTTCCCCAACCTTACAATAGCCCAAAAGCGGGACCAGGTTGCGGTGTTTAATCTTGCCTATAGTTTCCATCTCTGCGGTGAACTCCTTGTCTCCTTGACCACTGATGTGGATCAATTTCTTTACCGCCACAACACTACCATCCTTCAAATGTGCCTTGTAGACATCGCCGAAACCGCCCGACCCTATAAGGCTATCATTGTGGAAGCCATTTGTGGCTTCAATCAGATCTGCCAAAGTGAGCTTTATTAGAGGCTTCTCAAATGTAGACAGGTTTATACTCGACGCTTCCGGAAAATCAGTTAGCTTCCACCCACTGTTTGCATTAGTAGCTGGACGAGCCGCCACTGCCCCTTCATTCTCCTCCTCTCCTTTCTTGCGTCTCTTCTTCATTTCAAGGAAAACAAAATCCCAATCGTCAACGTCCCGATAAAGGACGCTTGTTCACGATGAGACTTGCGGTTCCAATTTGTTCTTGAACTGGAACCGGACCCACAGTCCTGAAGAGGGTATCCGCAAAGCCCAGAATTATTGGCAAACCGGTAAGCTGCAAAGGTGTCAAAAGCTGCTGATTGAGGTATTGGTCCAGAGAGCTTGTTGTTTGAAAGATCAATCTCGTCAAAAGTCAATCGGGTCAAAGATTGCGGAATCAAGCCAGTGAGACGGTTATGTGATACATCCAGAATTGCTAGAGTCTTCAGGCTTCCGAGTTCGGGAGGAATCGGACCAGACAGGTCATTATGCCCCAAATTCAGAATAAAAAGATAGTACATTGATCCTAATTCCTTAGGAATGCCACCCTGCAGGTTATTGTAAGACAGATCAAGGAAAATCATGGATCCGTTATGATTGAAATTCGGTTGGGTGATGCCTTTGTAAAGTCTAGTGAATTTGCAAGGGTGCCTGGTGGAAATCCTGTCCAGCCTGTCCTGTCGAATCCCTCCAAACTCAAGCAAGTTCCCGGCTCCATGGCAAATCTCACTCCCATCATTCTTGATATACCCAAACCTCTTCCCAGTTAGCAACGACTCCGCAATGTAGCCAGATTGCTTTGATAAAGCAGCCGGGATAGGCCCACTCAAGAGATTCGTGTTTAGATCAATCCATAGCAAGCTCGTACAATCCCCAAGCTCGGCTGGGATATTACCCGAGATTGAGTTATTCCCAAGCTTTAGAATGGCAAGATTGGATAAACTGCCCAGAGAAGCTGGAATCTTTCCACTCAAGAAATTATTCGACAAGGAAATCCAGTTCAAACTAGTGCAATTGCTAATACTTGCAGGGATTGAGCCTGTCAAGTCATTGAAATCAAGAATCAAATTCTCCAATGCCCGCAGATAGGCAAGTTCTTGAGGGATTTCCTCCTGTAGCATATTCAACCAAATAATCAAATCTTTCAGCTTTGTCAATGAGCCTAGACTAGAGGGTATCCTACCACTAAGGTAATTAAAGCTGAGATCAAGGGAGATTAATTGTGAACAGTTGCTTAAACTCTCTGGTATAGAACCAGTGAAAAGGTTGTTCTGAAGGTACAAAACTTTCAAGCTGTTTTTTCTAGGACCTTCACAAATCCCAGGGGGGATTGAGCTTGAGAGATTATTAGAACTTAAATCCAATGTCTCCAAATTTGAGGATAATGCCTCCCTGGGAAATTTCCCAACGAAATTATTGAAAGAGAGAACCATAGTCTTCAAGCTGGATAACTTGTGGATAGTTTCAACAGGCAACTCACCAGAGAAATTGTTGTTGGATATGTCAAGAAGCTGTAATGCAGAACAAGACCCAATACTTTCAGGAACAACACCTGAAAAACTGTTCATACCCAAATCCAGGTGCACCAAATGGGAGCATTCTTGAAATGAAGGGAAGAAAGCTGAGAAATTGTTGGCTGAAAGGTCCAAGAATGTCAAGTTCTTGAAACCCATTTCAGGAATATCTCCATACATCTTGTTCCCCTTCAAAGATAGAAACTCAAGGTCAGCAAAATCAGAAGGCACCAGCCAGGAAAAGATGTTTTTCCCAGATAATTTATTGTAAGAAAGATCAAGAAGTCTAAGTCCAATGGCAAAGCTAGCTCCTTTCTCAGGAAACTCCATCAAGTTCTTGGAGAGGTTAAGTGACCTGAGGCTGGAGCATCCAGCAAAGCTAGAGATATCAGAAACAGGCCCAGAAATGGCATTTTCAGCTAGATCTACTTGTTCCAAAGAAGCCCCACACTGTGCTTTTGATGCAGAAGTTAGAGAACCAGTGAGGTTACTATTCTTCAACACAAGATTCTCCAGACTCTGAAGAGTCAGCAAGTGGGATGAAACCAAGGAAAAGTCTGCGCCGAGAATGGTGTTGCTGAGATCTATGGAGGAAATCTTGATGAAGCCGCTCGTGCATGTGACTCCAGTGAAACTACATGGGTTTGCAGAAGATACCCAGTCATGAAGCGCCTCTTTATTGGGAAGACTGTTCTTGAAGGACAGAAGCTGCCGGGACTCCCTGAGAAGCTCATCGGAAACAGCCCAGGAAGTTAATGGCAGGAAGACGGTGAAGAAAAGAGGAAAAGAAAGCAAGAAAGACTTGCAGGAAAGAGCAAAGCTACAATACGCCCTCATCTTCTTCACTTCCTCATGTATTGTGTTTCATGGGTCTGCTCCTATTCCCATTGCCCCAGAAAACACGCAAACCCAGACAAGGGGATGGCGGTGTGTCAAGGGAAGAGTCAAACGTATGAACAGAGAAGGTGGCAGAGGAATTATTGAAGCCATGTGAGCCATATTTTTTCTTACCACTCACTCACTATTGTTAGTTGTTACTCTGAGGGCCATTTAAGAACTATCGTTTAGGACTGGGACCGGTTCGGTTCCTAGGCCAAATATGTGGAACCGTTTGAAAATATGAAATTTTACTAACGGTTCGGTTCTTATAAATTATTTTATAGAACCGATAAGGAACCGAACCGTTCTTAACGGTTCGGTTCTTGTCATTTAACGGTTCCTAGTCTTCGAAAAAATTCTTACAAATCATGACTAAATTTTTGCCAAAAAGACATTCTACGTTTGAAATTACGATACAAATATGCTTAAAAAATTAAATAGAATAATAATTTTAAATACTTTGGACCTTCAAAGTTCCGACCCGCTGAAGTTCTGACCTAATGAGAGGCCTAAGAAGCCTAAGAGAACCAGTTGAAGTGAATAATAGTTTTAAATAGTTGAATAACTAAACTAAAATAATGAATGTAATATAAAAATAAGTAAGTAAATATACATAAAAATATATATACTCATAAGAAATATATATAATTTTAATTATTATATATAACGGTTCCTTAACGGTTCTTAGTACATATTTTTTTCAGGAACCGAGAACCGAACCATTAATAAAAAATAGGAACCGAACCGTTAAAAAATTACTAATAAATGTTGGAACCGAACCGAACCGGGTCATAACGGTTCGGTCCGGTTCGGTTCTCCGGTTCTTGGTTCCAAAGTCCCAGCCCTACTATCGTTCTTATACACTGCGATTGTCTTCCATTACCACGTTGTGTTTGTCCAGAAATGGTAATCAGTGGATGCGATTAAGGATGGATCTTTATAAATTACAGCATAAGTTTAATTCCATCGCCGTCGTCTGTTTAGTTATAGATTCACATTTCCACAAGAGCTCCTTTATTTAAACGAGAATTTCAGTGGATAGGGGAGGATTTGCAATAGGGGGCTTTTTCTTTTAAAAAATTACTTTTTGAATGATTTTGCAAAAAGTGTTTAATACTAAAAGGTGATACTGTTTGCCAAAAATTGATTTTGAAACGTAAAAGTTTATAATGTTTGGTAAAATATGTGTTTTTTGTGTTGCAAATATTTTTTGTAATGACATATTTTTTTGACATTTTTACGAGATGACGTGACACTGAATGTATAAGAACAATATTTTTCAGACTTTTTAATTTTTATTTTGTTCTCATATTTTATATTTTCAATTGAAATCTAATAGTTACATAATTTTGGGGGATTTGACTTTGTACCCCGCTTTTTGGATAATATTGGACTTTGCACCATATTTTGAAAAAATTTTGATTTTGCACCACAATTTATAACATTTTGGGAAGAAAAGTTTATGATTGGGGTGCAAAGTCAAAATATTTTTAAGTGGAATGGGGTGCAAAATCAATTTTTTTTTTTAAATTGGGGTGTAAAGTTTAATATCACCCAAAAAGTGGGGTGCAAAGTCAAATTTCCCCCATAATTTTCTACGAAATCAGGAAATCTAAAAAATGCCTTTATATTTCATCTAAATATCATTTATATGTTCACAATTCGAAAATATCATTATTATATGTCAATACATATCTATCAAAATATCAAATGGTATCCTCGCCAGAGGTTGCGGGAACTTGCAGGAGAGCAATGGCTTTGTCAGAGAATGGTGGCGGAGAACACAACAATTGGCGGCGGCGGGCGGAATAGATTAAAAATAAAATTTTATTTTGTATAGATTACATAGATTACTACGTATTTTACTTAGATAACTTTTTATTTTAGAACAGTTGACACTATGGTTGTAAACGAATCAAATAATTTGTGCTCGTTTCGCGATTCGAATTCGTATAAGACGATTCGAATTTGGAAAATTCAAATTCAAATACAAATAAGAATATTAAATTTGATTCGAGTTGTTATCAAATACAAATATGAATATCAGTATATTTGATTCGAATATTAATCAAATATATTCGATTAATAATAGTGGTAATATTAATAGTAATATTATTAATAATAATAGTAATAACATTATAATAACTTTTAAAAGATGGCAATACCCTCAAAGTGTAGCCATATATACATTTATACATACAGACTCCAAGCTCATTTGTAGTAATCGGAATATAAATACCAATGCAAATTAAATGTTTGGTTCAAATGTCTTTCAAATACAATACCCATAATTATGTATTCAATTTGGAAGAATAAAAATAGAGTTGTTTGACTTTAATATATACAATTATCAACTTATTTCACACATTATAAGTATAATTTCTAATATGTGTGTGTTAGTGTTTATTTCAAAAAGTTTGAAATAGATTTATATTTATTAATCATAAAATTGATTCACTTTAGTATATTGTCCACAATCTAAAAATGCATTGATCAATTAAATTTATATTCTAAAAACACATATTAAGTCATAGCATGAATTTACAACATAAAAAGTATAAGAAATGTTATTTTAAAGTGATATTTGACTAATATTTGACGTATACTCAAATCGATTCGATATTCGTATATGATTCGTTAATTATTTGTATTGTTAAACAAATACAAATTCAAATCAAAAATAATATTCGTTTCATATTTGAATTCGAATTCGTATTCGAAAAATTAAACAAATACAAATACAAAATCCACTATTCATTTACCACCCTAGTTGACACATGTTCATTTTTGACAAGTTTTTGGTTATATGACTATTCTCTTCTAGGAAGCTTTTTTCCTAACAGGAGTGAATTCATGAAACACCACCAAAAGATAAAAGAGGATAAAAGAGAATCTAGTTTATCTATTTTCTCATTAACACAGTAACCCAAACTTCCCAAGCAAAGCATCACTGATTCTGGCTAGCTGCTTTAGCAAAGCATTCAAGTTTTCTTTTGACAACGTTCTAAACAAAGTTCTTTGTTCCTAATTATATAGGTATAAAAATATAGTACAATAATTTTCTTAATTGTTTGCTACACTTTTCTTTAGAGAAGTTTAAGGGGGTGTTTGAAAAATGAAAACGTTGTTTGAAAAAACAAATGACGTTTCAGACAAAAAATGACCCTTGCTTTTTTGGACAACCTAATAATCAAATATTTAAACTAATACATCTATAACATATCATAATTATCACCATTAACCTTATTATATTATATACCTACCAAATTTATTACTCAAAATATATTTCAATTACCATTTTTAATTATTGCCTTATGTGTTAAAAAAAACATTGTCTGATGTATGCGAAGTAGTGTACCGCTGTGAGCCTGTGACCCTCATAGTGGGGTAAACCCTCGTAGTGTACCTATAGGAAGATACGGAGTATAATCATGATTTAATGATAATGTACCTTTGAATTACTCGTGGAGTGATTTTATTTTGGATTGATTGTGGCTAACGTAAAAGCCTGGCCATCTGCCATATAGGACATGCGCTTGATAGAACGTCCCACGAGTTCACACTTATTTGCCCTTCAATTATATGGGGATGGGGAGGGAATGAGGGATGCTTGTTTTTGTTAAATTCCATCTCTAAGAGCATCTCCAACCCAAGTGTGGGTTGCCAAAAAAAATCCATTCACCTCACCAAATAGATCATTTGTGAGCAAATGCATTCTCCAATGCAAAAAGAAATGAGTTGGGTCCATCCTATGTGGCAATGCACAAGGTCCAGCAGGAGTTCTACATTATTGAGACGCTCTGTCTCACCTCTTGTCCTTGCTATGTTGATCTTTTAATAATGACTTTTATTGGAATAGCATTTTCTTCCTTCCCCATTGGAGTAGGGTATTGATAGACCTTCTCCATGGATTGCACCCCATAAAAAATGGACATGTCACCTATATAGACGGTCCGTGGGGCTGAGGTGGACGCACGGACATTTAAAACAAATTATCCGCTCCAACGCATAAAGGGGAATTCTAACGCAATAAAAACCATCTACGTTCTTATCTTCAAAAAACTGCCGCAGGTTTATTTCCAAAGTATATAATTCTTCTTCTACCAAAAAAATACTCCGTATAACTCTTCTGCTAGTTCTTCATCTTCAAAAGCATAACTTGAAAACAATCTTATTTCTTGGAGGTTACCTCGGGCTTCAGAAGTTACGTACAGAGCATGAAACTCGAAGTCACGTAGATGATTTATTTTGCTTCCATAAGTTGATTAAAGAATCTTTGTTTCTATGTGGTTCTCAACACTTCAATTTAAACAAAATAAAATGATTGTAACTCAACTAATAACATTCCTGTAAAAGAAAAAAAGTGACTCTGTAGTAAGACCTTCAACATACTCCTTATATGAATATGACTGTGATGTACTTTTCAAATGCAGAAAATGTTGATGCTATTGCAGTCTTAATTTGTCTATCACTCATCATTCAATCAAAAGAAAAATATTTGGAATATTCTCAGAGTTTCACGAGGAACTCCGCTTATGAACGTAACAGAATTGTCCAATTCAATCAATAAAGGGTTAGAACCAGATTACTACCGACCCAATCAGAACAAATTTGTTTTTATGCACCGATAGTCATCGTTCCTACTGAAGATGAAATCAGGAAGAGGATTTTGACGGAAACGAATTCACTTGTCGGCTTAAATTTAGGCAGGAAATTAATATTTTGCTGAGTCACAATGTGGGAGAGGCTTGCTGAAAATCCAAAGAGGAATAGACGATGTGGGTTTTTTCCGGCTCCAGCTCAGCAACACAAGGCATACCCACGTTCCTGTTGGAGAGCCTACATTTATCTCAAAGTCTAATTATATGATGTGGGAGTCCATTTTTAAGGAATCCATTTACCCACTACGGATGCTCTAAGCACCAATCCACCCTATGGGTTGGAGATGCTCTAAGATCTTAAGAAAATTAATTAAATACGGATAACTAACTGCATGAGTAGTTAAGCACTTGGGGCTTCCAAAAACCTAGAAAGCTATACAAAGAGAGGAGCTATGATGGGAAATCATAGTCTCCTCTTCCTCTTTTTTTTCTTCATTTAATTTCTTTTTTGAAGCTCTTTTGGATTCAATCATGAAAAAAGTTTC